AGGGGCCCACCCTGAGGACTCCCAGAGGCCCCCTGCCCTCCTGGTCCAGCTCCAGCAGGGGCAGAAGCACCAGGCTCAGGGTTCAGGAGGCCCACAGCACCCTCAACTTGAAGACACTCATTTCAAGTCCCCTGGAACCTAGAAGTGACGGCCAATCCAGAACAGGCAGCAAAAGAGCCAGAGCCACGAGAAGCCATAAAGGGGAGGACGGGACGAGTTCACGTCGCCAGCCATGGAGAGGCGCGGGGCAGCAGCGCTCCCAGGGACGGCGTACTCGGGGACCGCGAGAGTCCAGGAGCAGAGCAGGCGGGGAGCAGGGAGACCTAGCTCTGTGCTGCCTGACTTCTAACACCAGGGGACGGTGACAGAACCACCACCCACTGCTCAGTCAACAGTCCAGCCGAGTCCCGGGGGACAGGGACGACACATTGTCAACCTGCACGTCTGACCGGCCAGGTGCCACGACCGTGCACCCCACAATGGTGCCCCGATGCCAAAGTGATCACAGATCCTGTGGGTAATGACAGGCCCTCAGGAGCCTGTCAAAACAGAAAATGACAGCCTCAGGAGCAGGGGCACTTCCTGAGCTCGGCAGGGTTCACAGACCCGCACCTGCACTTTGTCACACGGTGGCAATGACAGAGGGAAGGCCGGGTGGGCAGGGAACCCAATCACCACATCAAAAGAAAGACTCCAGGAACAGGCATCCTGAGCAGCAGCGAGGACCCACACTGTGACCAGAGGGCCGAAACCGACCCGAGGGACGTGCCTGTCCCTGTCACCGGGTGGAGACAGCAGTCCAGGCCGACTCCTCTGTAATTCTCAGAGCTGCACCCGCCCAGCAACCTCAGCGACGCCCGGTACTGCCCGGCTGGTGCTTCTGATGGCCTAGAAGAGGAGAGGCCCAGGGACATGAGGATGCTCCCTGAGGGCAGCTCCATCTGGGCAGGGCTGCCCAAGGACCCAAAGAGGCCACACCATGTTCCTTAGCTGGGTGACAGGAGCAATGCCAGCGAGCCCGGCGGGCCGGCTGCCGGGACTTGTCCTCCAGCAGTCGCGTGCCTGGGGGTGAAAATACCAGAGCACATGGGTCTCCCTGGAGACGGGCGTCCCCGGACACAGGCCCGATCCATTCCTGCAAAGTGAGAATGGCACGTCCCTGCCCACATGGGCCGCCACCTGTGACATCCACACAGACCGGTGGGCAGCATGATGGTCCCCAAAGACGTCCCTGTTGCAGTGAGAGGTGTGGGACCAAGTCTGAGGCCTGCAGATAGGAGGAAACCCCAACACACGTGTGCGTCCTGACCCCCGGCCCGGGTTTCCGCGCAGGAAGGCGCATGGCGCAGCTCGGGACTGTGGTGGTGCCCACAGCAGCCTGTCCTCCCAGGTGAGTCGTGGTGGCACCCAGGTCAGCCGTATCACTAGCCCGATGGTGCCGGCGCCTCCACAGGTGATTTCTTGATGGCAAACACTCAAACATGGCTTCCCGGAGGACTGTGGGGGCGCTGACTGGAGGCAGCAGGCACGGGCCTCTGGGCCTGAGAGCTGTGCTGGAGTCCCTGGCCCACGCAGGCCTGCCACTTCCCCAGACGCTGGGGACCCATGCCCCTGCTGACCTCAGGAGGCACAGAGCTGCATCTCCTTGTTACCCTCCCTCTTCTGTTACTCTCCTCTTGACATGGAAGACCAAGGACTGAAAAGGAACCGAGGGTACGAGGAGAACGCGCTCAGGCAGCTCAGCGCGGCCAAGACCCCAGGAGACCGTCGGCTTTCGCCTCGGGCTGACCCTGGGCCAGAAGAGC